TGCGATCCGTTGCCGGACACGGAAAAAAAAAAAAAAAAAAAAAAAAAAAAAAAGCAGATGGGGGAAATCTGTGAATATGAAAAAGAATATTATAAATATATGATTGAAATATAGATTCTAAAAAAGAAAAAGTTTGAAAACTGTTAGGCTATATCATACATATGGATTACTGTCCTAAATAACCTTAAAACTATCTTCTGTTGTTGTAGACACCACATGAATGAAGGAAAAGGAAAAAGTAGATAGGAAAGAGAGAAGACATGAGGATTTTTAAAAATAATTTTATTCAAGAATTTGAGCTAATCTAAAGCACACAATGCCCAGCACATGGTGTCAATAAATACTGGACAATCAAGAAATCCGCACATCAAATGGCACCTGTTTGTGGGGCCACTTTGCTGCACAACTTTAGGGAGCATTCTTGGCATTGTAGTCTATGTAAAAGACACCCTCTGGACTTAAGCAGCAAATAGCTGACATGGGCAAACGCAGGAGCCTTGCTCATGAAAATGTTTAAAAATTCCAAGGCATTATAGAACTACGGTCTGTGATATCCACAAAATATTCAAGTTGGCATTGTTCACTTTCCAGGAAAGCAAATAAATATATAAAGGGAGAGGTTAAATGGTTTTTCTGCGAGTTAGCATCCCAAGGGCGGAAGGGGAGGTACGGGAGGATTGTCTTAGACCCTCTATGGATATTCTTTAATTCTTCCAAATTAGACTCAGACAAAGTTGTCAAGAAAATTCATATGATATAATATTCCAGTTGGAAATCCTTGCAGAAATGGGCACAGGATGACTTGTCGAACTCCTTCAGTACGTACCAGTTTATATTTAAATAACCTTCTGTAAAATAGCTTCCCTTTGATTTTACATATTCATGAAGACACACCACCAGCATTGAAAGATAGCCAAGCAGAAAAGAGAAAAATCCTATTACACTGACAAGACAATTTCCTTGGCTAATGTAATCAGACAGTGCAGCTGCATTCCTTGTTAATCTAAATTTAGTTCAAATAACTAAAAAGCTTTACTCATTTTGTGATAAAAATTAGACACTTGCAAAATAAATTTCTGACAAATCACATAAATTTATTTTTGCAATAATCATTTAGTGCAGGAATCTTTTTAAAAATGCATTGAATTGGCATATCAAGATGAAATAACCTGATTTCTGAAAAAGCATTTCATCAAATGTTTTGTTAATTTCCATAAAAGCAGTATGAGGTGTCTGCTTAGTAACTGTGCGATTTTTTACTTTATTTTTTGCCTTACTTGGAAAACTTAACATAATTTGCCAACATACTTTTTAAACAAGATTATTTTAAGCCAGATTACTTGCTTAAGACTGAATGACAAGAGGAGGCAGAAGGGAAGACAATTTTAATGCTAATTTGCTGAGGATTATTTTTTAGTATGAAAAGAGGACAACTGATGATATAAGGCTGCATTTCTCAAGCTTATCTGATCATGAGCCTTACCTGGGATGCTCATTAAAAGATATGGGCTCTGGGTCTCACCCCTAGAGATCTTGATTCCTCAGGTTTGGGAGGGGGCTCAGAAATGTGTATTATTAAAAGCACCTGGATGAGTTTCAGATCAGGCCAATTTGGGGAATATGTGGTATCATGGAAAGAACACTGACCTAGTTTTAGTGTTCAAAACACAGGTTGTCAGCTCTCCCATGTGTCTTTACCCAACTCATTTTATTACAATAGGTCTAAATTTCCTCAGCTGTAATAATAAAAAACAAGACAATGAAAACAAAAAGACTGTTTTAGTCCACAAACCCCATGAAGATGGAAAGCAGGTGGGTTTTGCCCACTTCTCTATTCCCTGCACCGAGCCTGCTGCCTGACGCCCAGAGCAGCTCTCCTTAGTATGTGTTGACTAATTCACAGCTTAGATGAGCTGTAAGGGTCCTTTCAGCTTTAAAATTATCTGATTCTAAAATAAGTAATAAAACAATGCCTTTGACCCACCGTTTACAAAATGACAGTTATTCTCAAAATGAAATAAAAACTAAGCTGAAAAATGCCCCCACTTCTCACTGGTTTCAGGGCTGCACATTCCCAGTAAGTGTCTCAAAGGCCATGACTCGGGTAATTTGCTGTTGTATCTTCCTCAGAGAGCTGGGATGGTTAAAGATGATGCATTGGAAGCACTTAGGACGATGTTTGTTTGGCTCACAGTGGATGCTTAGTAAAGGTAAGTGCAATCCCGAAGACCAAGTAAATATTCTGTGTAAAATGATGCAGAAGAAAATGAGTTCTCTTACTACACTGGAGGAGTACAGCAGTCACAGCATGATTTTTAGGAGTTTTGATACTTTAGTCCTAAGACATACTGTTGAGTAATAAGTCCAGAATTGTCAGAAACCTTCCCTGGCATGCGTACGTTGTGCAGAAACAAGTGTTTTTGACACTGATTAGAAGGAAAAATAAACACTGAAAACTTAACATTTCAAATGTATTTTAAAACAAAATGGTCTTATTTATTTTAAAAAATTTATTAAATTACTCCATTTAAAAACTTCCTCATATTATGTATCTAATATAACTCAGAAGTGGTTCTCAGTGTGGTCCCCACACCAGGGGCATTAACATCACCTGGGAACTTGTTACGAATGCAAATTCTTGAGCCCTGTCCCAGACGTAATGAATCAGAAACTCTAGGTGTCCCGCCACAAAATCTGTTTTAACAAATGCTCCAGGTGATTATGATGCACACTAATGAATGAGAACCACTGACAGGGTAAACAAGACCATTGTAAACAATGAATTCAGAGAAGGCTGAATTCAAATTTCTATACACCTATAGTTTATCAGAATTGAAAAGACCACATTACGTACCCAGTCAACTGCCCATGAATACATTCAACTAGCAAACATACAACAAACCATTTTCGTATAATGTTTCCTCCCTTTGAAACACATCCTGAAATACTGAACCTGAAGTGAAAAAAGTAAACCACTGGCTTTGAGGATATTGAAGTCCTAAAAATACACATTTTTAATAATAAAAATATTACCAAGTATTACCAAGTTTAATTTTAATGTTACTAAAACATGAACAATTCAAAATGAGGCTATGGATATATACTGCAAACTCACAAGGGTTTTTTCTTTAAATCCAAATGGCAGTTCTGATTTAGAACTAGTACAAGGTTCTAATAACTAGCTATTATAGATTTATGGTTCTATGTTGTATGTAAGAAAAGCTCTCAGCTATAGATTCTGAAAATCTTAAAGCTACATTTTATACAAAAACAGCCAAGAGGGAAGAGATTTTTAAGTTGAAGGCAGAGTAGAGATGGGGTTGATGATGAGAGGTGCTGATCCATCCTCTGTCACATTCTCAGGTCACAAGTTGAGAAATTTGAGAAGACACAGTAAGAAGGTTATAGAACTACTGCTCATTCTGCATGGTTCTGCAGCCTGAGAGAACATGAGTCTTAGGTATGTTTTTCCAATATTTTCCCCAAGGCCTAAAATTCACCTAAGAGAAAGAGATCAACTTAAATGTATAAGAAAAACAAAGCAGTCTATTCACAATAGCTCCTAGTCAGGAACATTAAATGGCAGCGTGCTGATGACCTCTCCAGATTCAGTGACAATGGCATCGTAGACCCACCGTCGGTTGCAGCGGCACTCAGGCCCACACTTGTTGGAGTTACATTTGGGGCAGGGGTAAAAGCAGCCCAGGCAGTTCTTCTCTAGGCAATCACACAGGTCAACATCATTACAAATGAGCCTGCCACTTTTGTCATACTTCCTCACAACTCTGCAAAAGAAAAGAATGACACTGATATGACAATGTAATTGTCTTCAACATTGAGAATAATAAATAGTGAGCAGCAAACTTCATATGCATGCTCCTTTTACTCTGAAAGACAGCAGCCTAGAGGTCATCCAGAAACACTCCAGAATATTATATGGCAGTGATGTTGTGGGAGATCCACACATGGGAGATTACTTTTAGTAACAAAAAACATACCATTAGAAAGAGAAATAATATAACATAGGAATGGATTCGGGATATCAAATGGGCACAGGACTATCAAAAAGTGCAATGATAGTGCATCGGAAGTCTCTCCTACTAAAGCTATTACTCTAGTACAGGACAGTTGAAGCCCTTTTTAAATCGATTCCTAGTTTGAGATTACAGTCTATTTCTTGAAACTAACTCATGCATTTTATAATCCCACAAATCAAATATAGTAAGTTATGACCTTACTTGTATTTTACAGAAAAATACTCATTCATCTTTGACATTCGTGCTTTCTTTTTCTGCTCCCTTGTTTCAGGATTAAAGTCTGCTACCTGTGGTCCAGGGTTTTGAAATGCCAGGCATTTTAACTGCCGCTCTATTTGTTGCTGTGAAACAAATAAAATGTATTAGTAGGAAAAGCTGGATAGTTTTATCTGTTTTACATTGTCTCAAAATTAACTTTCTCTGACTTTCACCATAATGGCATAAAAGTACAGTATATATGTTTTACACAGAGAAATAAACAGTTTAATCTAATTTTCAAAAGATAAATTTTCTCACATTAGGCCATTCTTTTTGAATAAAGAAATACGTAATATAAAACTCATATAATAAAAATATTTTTTAAAAAAATCAAGGAGGAACAGAAGAATTATTTTTATACCTGCGAAACCAGTCAGTTTTCCAGATCTGATGGGGATGAACATCAGAATTAGCATTTTATGGTGGGTTTAAGCATTAAATTAGCATTTTAAGAAGGGAGTAAAAGCCCCTTAGCTGTTAGCCAAAGAAGCCCCTGAAAAGTGTCTCAAACCACAGTGAGAACCCACAGCACACTCAGCTATCCCCTTGAGTGCTCTGCGATGTTTCCTACCTACTCCATGTCTTGTTGTGGTGTGGACTCCACTGGGGCTCCAGTTCGGAAGAGCCACCTGAAGGATCCACTGTCAGGCACAGCCAGATTTGAACAAGAAAAATCTTGCTAGAATGACTTTCTAGAGTGGTAAGAGAAATTTTCACAAGTTTCTGGTGACTTATATTATTAAAAATTAAATGGGACCTAATCTGGAAGACAAGCAGCAAAAAATTGCACAAGTAGCACCCAGGAGGGTCCTTCAGAAAAGTTCATGGATAGATTTGTACTATCTTTCAATTATCCTCAATTCGTATTATCTTTCAATTTTATTTTTCCACAAACTTTTTGAAGTACCTCCACGAACTTTTTGAAGTACCTTCGTATGTCATGAGGAAAAGGAATGCTCTTTTGAAGGATTCTAGATGAAATTAATCTCGATAGCCTGAAAACACAGAGGCTGACATATACATGAAATACAATACCTTGAAACAAAAGAGAAACTTTTAGGATATGACTTTCAGTGTAACAAATAAGTAACAGACCTGGTAGGCTTTACTGCAGTTTGTTTAGTGTAATAATAGTCTATTCAGTCTAAATTATATATAAATATATTTCTTGAAAATTTCATCTTGGTGTGTATATTGGATTTATTTTAAAAACTTATCTTTATGAAGCATTTAGGTACAGCTATGAAATAAGCACAATTTAGTACCTCCTATTGCTATTCTCAGCAGCATACGTGCAAATCTTGGCTCTACCACTTATTAGTGGTGTGCCCAGAGCAAGTTCCTACTTCTCTAAGCCTCAGTTTCTCCTTTTGCAAAATGGAGTTCAGAAAAGTATTTGTGATAGGATTAGATGAGTTAATATATACAAAGTTTTATAACCATGACATGACATAATAAGAACAAAATAAGAGTCTGTTAAATAAAAACACTCTAATATATTCTCTCTATATATATTCTACTCTGAGGGCAGGATTTTTTTTTTTTTTTTATTGGTTATGAATGTTCATAGGGTACAAAGCTGACCATCACCACTCGTGCTCAAGATGTCATGGCTAGATCAATATTGGCAGCATGCCAATTACCACAAATTGTGATTATACCATGTGCCCCCCACCCAATTAATCCCCGACCTCCCTCCCCCTCCCCCTTCCCCCACCCCACTTTGAGGGCAGGATTTTATTGCACAGAACACTGGGCTAAAAATCAGGGAAGTGAGAGGTGGAGAGAAGATATTAAAGTGAGACCAGCCCCGCAACTGGCAGAGTGAAGCAAAGGGAAAGTCCCAGAGCATGGGGGAGCAGAGATCCTTCCTGAGGAGTCCTGACTGGACTTCACCTTCCCACCTAACTCCATGGGCATTTCAGAGATGCCCAAGTTGGGAACTCCTCAAAGAACATGGAATCATAAAATCTGTGTGCCATACCAGTTGTTTCTGTCCAATTTGACAGCTTTTCTCAGGAGAACTTTGATCTGTGGGTCCCTCTTGAATGGAATTTTTTTTTTCTGATTGTTCACTCATTTCTGATTGCTAAAAAAAGTGATCGGAAAAAAGTAAAACACATTAATGTCACATAACCAGTAACTTCATCTTATGCCTCTTTTCTTCTCTCCCTCCACGTCTCACTTTGTCCCGAGGCCAGACTTCCTCAGAAAGCCACCTGCACTCCCCGCTCCTCTTTCCGCTCATTCTCAACTTCTGCACCTGACTCTCCCAGACCACTCTCCTGACATTCTTTTCTACCCAGTGTTCCATGAGCAAAACAATTCGATCTTTTACAGTCCTTAGCATCCTAGACCTCTGGAGCAGGTGACACTGGGGACCTTCCTCTCCTGCTTGGAAAGACTATGAATTCTTAGACCTCCACTCTTCCCCCTTTACACTTACTCTTTTGAGAAAAAAGAAGGTAAGATGTTATTGTCATATAACTCCGGTAACTTCATGAAAATCTCATCCATTCCCATGGTTTCAGCTGTCACCTCTTCAGATATCATTCCCAAGCCTCCTCTAAAAGCCCTGACCTCCTCATTCAAGTTCTGACAAAATTATAATGCAACTTGTACCAATGAGAAGTCATCAGGTTTTTATAAAACCCAGCTGCTAAAATGCCATAATTTACTTCAAAATACTTCAATACAGATGCTGCTTGACTTATGATGGGATAAACCTATGAACCCAATAAACCCATCATAAATTGAATATATTTGCTTCCAATTTACAATATTTTCAACTTTTTTTTTATTTCATTGCTTTCACACCATCATAAAGTCAAAAAATCATAAGTCAAACCATGTAAGTCGGGAACCATCTGTGTGTATATATATATATAGGTGCTAGTTTATGGGCGTGTGACTGAGGTAAAGCCAATACAAGGTGCTAATCATGAATGCACAGTCCAGGGCTGGTCTGTGCTGTTCTATCAGAAAAGACCGCACTCCAGAGGAGGTGTACACGATCCCCACTGCCCTCCCTGACTCTCATCAGAATGATGATTACAGGGCATCATTTCTACCAAAGGAACCTAAGAGCTAAGCTTTACTAAGGTGGCTTGGGTCATTTAGCACCATCTCCCTGACAACTAACTGGAAATTCCATTTCTATCAGTGGATCTTTGTAAAGTTACATGACTATGCCAATTGTCGGGTTACAGCAATTCATAACTAAAGCCAAAAAGTTTCATTATTTTAGTTATACTAAGTTTTCCATTTGTATTGTCAGAGCTAGGGCTCAGATCCTTCTAACCCATTTTACAGACTGGGTCACCAGACCCCTCACATGCAGGTCCAGGGTAGGTAATTTGGAAAGATCCCAGGATCCATTGGCAGACGACATGAGCTCAGTCCACAGCAGCAGCAGCAGCAGCAGCAGCTGCTTACATCAGTAGCAGCAGAAGCAGCGGTGGTGGCCTCTCTGCGCATCCTGGGGGCACTGGCAACAACAGCCTCCAGCAACAGTAGTCGTCTCCCCGTGGCCCCCCTGGTGGTATCCCGGGGGCTGGGAGAGGAGGCCCTGTGGATCAGAGCCACTGTCCTTTATACTTAAGCCCATAACCCAGGACACCTGGGTGCACATGCGCAGTTACATTAGACAATAACGAAGGAACACCCGGGTGCAGGTGCATATTTACATCAAATGCTGGGCAAGATTCTGAACATCTGAGGAGCCTTGACCATTTTCCTGTATTTTCCCTACAATCTTCATTCTCCTAACATCTAGGGCCAACACCTTTGACTGCTCATTCCTCTGTTCACACTTTCCAAGTCCCAACATTAGGTTAGAAAGCAATATTGATTTTTCTTTTCTGATATTCCTAAAATTGATTCCTCTTTTCCGTTCTCTTTTGAGTAGTCCCTAATGATAATAGTGGTAGTGGTGGTAATGGTAATATTTTACCCTTGACCAAGATGGCCTCAGCTTGACCAAACTTTAGACAGGTTTCTTCCTCACTATAGATCCCTGACTTCCCTTTCCTTAAAGGATTTACTTTAGAAAACTTTCAATTATACATTCTTTCTCCAGTCCTTTGAGATGCAAATGTTCTCCCTTAATCTTGTCATTTTACAACCGATGACTGTCCTCCTCAGGGACCTTGAAGCCATCCATTTGAAATGTAATCATTAAAGAAGATTCGCTCTTATCTCCCAGTTTCTATGAGAGGATAGGAGCCTAACTTTGAATAGGCACCAATGAGCAAACACAGGTGGCATAATCACAGAGAAAGACATCTGCAAACTCAGGAACAACTCAATGTGCTCAACACATCCCATTGACTAATCTCCCCCCACCCCAAATTCTCCAGTACTTTTCCAGTAGTTCATCCCAGCTCTTAAGAACACTTTCACCCTTTGTATCAGTGGAGCTGAGTTTACACTGAGATCTGGTCTCTCTCTCTCCTATGTCAATAGCTGTGCATAGTCTTCCTTGCCTGTTTGAAAGCTGTACTTTTTCCAGAGCAATTTTGCTTTGACAACCTCACATGTAATTTCAGATCTGATTAGGCAAACCTTGCTGTGGAGTATTTTTCAAATTTTTAGATAAAATCATATGGAGCTGTTTTAAAAATCATAAATTCCTACTGAATCCTAGATCTATTGGGATTATAATTAGAATGAGAAATCTTGGAAATCTGTGTAATTAACAAGCTCTCCAGGTGAATATTATTGTTAGGCAATTATGGGAAAAAGGGTAGGGAAAGTAGTTATAATTTTCTCCATCCACTGCTGCCATCTGATCCTAAAAATATTGTCCATATTTCCTTCCTACCCTCAATTCATCTAATACATTCTGGCCATTTTAATAATTTTCCTAAATCAGAAATTTCTCTATCTCGGGGGCCGGCCCGGTGGCGCACTGGATAGTGCGCCGCTTGGGAAGCGCGGCGGCGCTCCCGTCCGAGGGTTCAGATCCCACATACGGACCGGCTCCCGCTCACTGGCTGAGCGAGGCGCCGGAGCAACACCGAGGCTTGCGATCCCGTTGCCGGTCCCCGGTCCGGTACGGGGGCAACACTGAGGGTTGCGATCCGTTGCCGGACACGGAAAAAAGACAAAAAGACAAAAAAAAAAAAAAAGAAAAAAGAAATTTCTCTATCTCATTCCTATTAAAAAGACTACAATGACTCCCCCTGTCAATAATATCCCACATTCCTTGCATATCAGATAAGGTCTATTAAAGCTGTCTCCAACCTCCCTGTCTAGGCTCATCTCCTGTCATACCTGCACTTGGGCCAAAGCCACCTGAACTCACTACTCCCATTAATGCACCTCTCATGTCTTACCTAACTGAATCTTTCAGTCTTGAGCTCCAGTCCCGTCTCAGTCCTCTAAGAAGCCCTCACTGATCACGGAGATCCCTTTTTCTTTTGGGCTCTGTTTGGCACTTCATTAAGAAAATTCCCAAAAGGGGATCCCAAACTCTTTAGCTTCTCCATGTAACAAATATTCCTCCACATGGGAATAGATGTGACAGGTTATGAGCATCTCTGCAAGCAAGAACTTTTCCTGAAAAGGTATAGGATTTAACTGCACTGGGAGAAATGCATATCTTATGCAGATCTTCTGCCTGAGGTACCTTTGTCTAAATCCTTTGTGAAATGTAGGTCTCAACAAATAGATTGAGGGAAAACTTTCTCCTTTGTATTCCAAATAAAGCAAAAGGAAATCATAATAGAATTTCCCCAGGGACTGAAATTGTAATTGGATTGCATTATGAGTCCAAAGTGTCTGTCCCAGGAAAAGTAGCAAAAAGGTTCAGAACTCCCCCTTTTTCCCTTGCTCGATATTTCCAAGGCAAGGGTTCCTAACCACAGAATGCAGGGGGCCCTTGAAATTGGATGAGTGAAAAAAAAAAATACATATTTATTTTCACTAACCTCTAACTGAAATTCTGGCATACCTTCTATTATAATGCAACCAACAAACCACCGTAGTGCCAGCAGCACCCGTTACTTTGTTGACTAGAAAATGCAGATTTTCATAATCCATTAGAATTGCCGTAGTTATGTCAAAATTTCATTTATGTTCATCATTTCTTCAGAATAATGGTAGTTCTTAGTCCTGCTACTAATGTTGTTAGTTGACATATATTACATCACAACATTTTGATAAGTATGTTTTAATATAATTGGTTTCCTTTGTAACCTCAGAGATTTTATTTTATATGATTAAAAATATCATTCTGAGGAATAGTCCACAGATGTCACTGTCTGCCAAAGGGGTCTATGACACAAGAGAACACAAGGTACTTCAAAAAGTTTATAGAAAACAGGAATTGAATGATAATACGAATCTTTCCATGAACTTTTTGAAGTACCCTCCTAATAGATCTGCAACATAACCAGCACCACTTTAGACAAGCCCAAGTACAAAATGGCGCCACCCACCTCCTCCCCTCCTCTCCCCCTTCCCTTTACAGAAGCCTCCTGACTTAAACAGAAACCCCTTTTGTTTCCACAAGGACGCAGCTCTCCACCCTGATCCATATTATCATAATGACCCTCCTTGAAGGTATCAGCCAGCCCTTGGCGCACTATATAAGCTCTATCACCCCCACACCTGGTGCTGTCCCCCATTTTCAGGGCAGCCCTGGGCTGCCTGCTATTTTGAGCACAGCCCAGCAGATTTTCTTCCTTTAATAAAGCTTGAACAGTACCCAGCATCTCAGCTCACTTTCTTTCACCTCCTAAGGTTAAGAATTCCTGCTACGAGGAAGTGAGAACCTGCTGCCACCATCTCCATGATCATGATGAGGACAATCAACAGCTCCCAGTTCAGGATCATTCAAGCTACACAAGATGCTCATCTTCAAGCAAATGGCTAGAAGACTTGTAGTATAGCCTGAATTACTGCATTTGTTGGAGATACAAAGAATGTGAAATCAGTTTAATAAACACTCTCTTGTGCCCTAAAATTATGTCAGATTGCCTATGAAAGATCCAAAATATGGTCTAACATAAAGAGAAGAGGCTCCTCCAGGTTGCAGACCCCTAGACTACCCACACAGACTCTAGAGCAGAGCTAGTCACAGTGTGG